ATGCAAAGCAAATGCAGATACAAGTACCGATGCAAGTTGTTGTAAAGGCGGTTCTAGAATAGGTGCAAAAGCCAAGTACAAGTCCAAGTGACAATCTCATGAGTGAGAAAGAGATAGGTAGTCTTTCTTTCTCTTTTGCACTCATGAGATTGGCACTTAAACATTATTATACGTATTATACGTATAATACTGTAGAAAACCAGGTTGTCGACATTGTAGCCGCATCAATGGCAGCATAACCTCTTTTTCTTATTTACTTTCTTGTCTAGTTTTGGTAAATAAGTATTAATTAATAAATAAAATATTTAAATATTGGTCAATTGACAACTTTCAGTTGAGTTAAATAATATTATCTTATTTACAATAATTCCGTAAAAAATTTTAACATTTTAAATGTGCTTCCGTTCTCAATTTAGAAGAGATATACTAATGTAATTTAAATTTTATCAAAGCATCGATAATTAATTTTTGCCAATATCAGAACTTTTGGAATTTCGAAACAAGCATAATTTAGCATTAGTATGTCATACGTCCACATTTACGTTATTTAAGATGCAAATTCATAGGACATCAGTTGCTGAAACAACGCATGAGATAGAAAAGGACAAAAAAAATGTATGTCCTTTTCTATCTCATGTGTTGCTTCCATCAACTGATGTCCTATGAAAATGAACCCTTATGGAGCGGTCACACCTCGCCTGCAGGAGCAGTTGCCAATGGCAACCGTGTAAGAGTAAGAGAGATGGAAAATCTTCTATCTCTCTTACTGTTACACGGTTGCCTCCTGCAGCCGAGGTGTGACCGCTCCATTAGGGTGAAGTCCCATGTGAGCATAAGAGTAAAACTGAAAGCAGGAAAACATGATTACAAGATATTCTTCTCACTCTCATGTTTCTCTGCTTTTCGCTTACGTTTACGCACCTATGGGAGTGCACCCTAATGGTTCTATTGGAGACACATTATAAAAGCAATGAAATATGTTCTTCTCTTTCGTTCTCATGCTTTCCGCTTTTACGTCAGCATGGGACGGCGCCTTAAGGCGCTTGTACACCTCACAAATTCTAAGTATACTCGGAATTTGTCAAAAGTTATACTAATTTTGATTGGCCTTGCTCATGGAGAATTTTCAAAAGAAAGGAAAATTTCGAAATTTTCTATGAGCAAATCCAATCAAAGTTAGTGAAACTTCTGACAAATTCCGAGGAAGAATTTGTGAGGTGTACAAGCGCCTTTAAAAACAAATTTTACGTAGATAAAGGCCAATGTACAACTTACAAATCCGTGAGCTTGTACGTACAAGCTCTTTCATGCTGACTCTACATTGACTGCGCAAACGTGTACGTGAACGTGCTGAAGTCACAATGTGAAGTCGGTTCTACAATGGGCACGTTTGTACGTGAACGTGTACATTCCGTGCTGACGTCACTTATTTGCAGAACATTGTGACGTCAGCACGGAACGTACACGTTCGCGTACAAACGTGCCCATTGTAGAACCGACTTTATTCAAATGGGTGACGTCAGCACGTTCACGTTCACGTACACGTTTACGCAGCCAATGTAGAGTCAGCATTAAGTCGGTTCTACAATAAGCGCGTCGGACGTGGACGTGCTGACGTCACAATGTTATTCAAATGGGTGACGTCAGCACGATCGCGTCCACGTCCGATGCGCTTATTGTAGAACCAACTTTATTTTACCTGTGTGCATCGACTTCTATGGACCAAAGCATAATGAAAATCGTAAGACGTTAGACGTAAACTTTACATGAGAGAGAACACATATCACTGACTTTTTCACTCTCACTATTTTTGGTTTTTTGTAAAAAAAATTTTTAATTAATTTTTAGCTAATTAAAAAAAATTCTTGATTAATTTATATTTTAATTATTAAGGTACCAAAAAAAAATTTGTTTAATCTGGAGAACAGGGGTACATGAAAAAATGTAAAAAAAATTATCAATTAATTTAAGTATTAAAAAAGGGAGAAAATAGCAAATTAAATAAAAAAAAATTTAAGATTATTTTTTTTTACTTTTCAAGGTACCAAAAAAATTCGTTTAACCTTAAAAAAAGGGATACATGAATAAATTTAAAAAAACTCTCAATCAATTTCTAGAACTAAAAATAGGTTAAAAATAGTTAATTTAAAAAAAAAAAATTCTAGATTAATTTCTTTTTAACTTTTAAGGTACCAAAAAATTCGTATAACATTGTAAAAAGGGGTACATGAATAAATGTAAAAAAAAATTCTAGATTATTTTCTTTTTAATTTCTGGGTACCAAAAAAATTCGTTTAAACTGAGGAAAAGGGGTAGATGAATAAATGTAAAAAAACTCTCAATTAATTTCTAAAATTAAATATAGGTTAAATAAAAATAGCTAATCTAATAAAAAAAATTTTAGATTAATTTATTTTTAATTTTTAGGATACCGATAAAAATTCTTTTAATCTGAGTAAAAGGGGGACATGAATAAATGTAAAAAAAATTATTAATTTATTTCTAGAGTTACATATAGGTTAAAAGTAGCTCGTCGATTGAGGGCAGAAACACACCAATTCAGGCGAATGTTGAGAAACATGACAATCTAAAAAATATTAGGGAAACCTGCCATTCCAGTGAAGATTTCAAAAACATGCCATTTCAGATGTCAAATTTTTGTTGATTGTTTTAAGTTGGTAATACTTTCTTGAGAATGTTATATTATAGTTAACAAAATTTTATTCTTGAAATCAATATTAAAAATTAAGAAAAGTACAATTATTAATAATAAAATTATTAAAGGTTCTACCGACTTAACCATCAATATTCAGCAAAATATTAATTATTTTGACTCATCAATTTTTCGTTTACAGTGTTACCAACCTAAAACAATCAACAAAAATTTGACATCTGAGATGGCATGTTTTTGAAATCTTCACTGGAATGGCAGGTTTCCCTAATATTTTTTAGATTGTCATGTTTCTCAACATTCACCTGAATTGGCGTGTTTCTGCCCTCAATCGACGAGCTAATCTAATAAAAAAAATATAGATTAATTTCTTTTTAATTTTTACTGCACCAAAAAAATTCATTCAACCCTGTATAAAGGGGTACATGAATAAATGTGAAATAAATTCTCAATTAATTTTAAATTTAATTAATTTAATTAATAATTGCATAAAATTTGGGGTAAATGGAGACAGCATAATTTCTAAGAAAGTTTTAAGAAAAAAGATTCCTAAGTATATTACTGTATTAAGGGATGAAAAAAATTAAAATATTTATAGTACATATATAATAGTTAAACCAATTAAAATTTTTTTATTTTTTTTTTATTTCAGTATTTTGTCTCGCATTTGAAAAGAAACAGACTTAAAAATCATACCAAATTTTTTTCTTATTCCTTATGACTCCCATAACAAAAATCAAAAATTGAAGTGAATTTCTGTTATAGGAGTCATAAAGAATAAGAAAAAAATTTGGTATGATTTTTAAGTCTGTTTTTTTTCAAATGCGAGACAAAATACTGAAATAAAAAAAAAAAAATTCGATTGGTTCAACTATTATATATCTACTACAAATTTTTTTCAACTTTTTTCATCCCTTAACCCAAGCAGCACGGTAAATTCCCTGAATATCCCTTGAGTACCACAGTGGAATATTCTCATGATCTTCTAGGAAAATCAAAATGTCCGCATCATGGGAATATTCCACAGTGACATTTAGGGTATATTCCAGTGACATTAAAGGGATATTCAGGTGATATTGAGGGAATATTCCAGTGATATTGAGAGAATATTCCACGGTTATATTGAATTTTTTTTAAATGTGTTTTTAATCTTCCTGCTTATTTAAATAACAATGTATAACACTTTTTTATTATTTCAACACTTTAAAAAAAATTCAATATAACCGTGGTATATTCCCTCAATATCACTGGAATATTCCTTTAATATTACCTTCAATGTCACTGGAATATTCCCTGAATGTCACCGTGGAATATTTCCATGAGGCGGACATTTTGATTTTCCTGGAAGATCATGGGAATATTCCACGGTGGTATTCAAGGGATATTCAGGGGATATACCGTGCTGCTTGGGAATACAGTAATATACTTAAGGAAACGAATAAAGTACTGACTAATACACCGAATCAGTACTATGTCGGAGGTAAAAAAATATTAAAACCAGTACTGGCAGTACACTGTCATTCACACCGAATCAGTACTATGTCAATGGTAAAAAAACATTAAATGAAAAAGTCTTTAAATTATTCCAATAGGTAGAAAACGATGATTTTTTTAATAAAAAATGTTTATTAATTTATTTCCAATACTTTCTCCCAAAATTTTTGATATAATTGTAATGTAGTATTATATATACCTATATAAAATATATTTATGTTTTTATTAGTTATTTTAATACTCATTGAAATATGTGCATTAAGTTATTTATCTTGCATATAATAACAATAAATTGAGAATTTTTTTCTAATAGTTTTAAAAATAAAGCAAATGTAATTTTTTACTGTAATTTTTAAATATTCAATTTGAAATAATTAAATATTAAATTTAAAAATTTTTTTACCATTCATATTTTACAGTCGTCTTTTATTAAATTATTTTTAATTATGTAATTCATCAATCATTTTTTTCTGTTTTAATATTATTATTCACGGTATGAATAATTTATTAAAAATATTTAACTGAAATTGATATCCAGTTTTATTTCATAAAATCTTTGTAAAAATTAAAAAATTTTGTGAGATAAAAAAATTCAAGAATAGATAAATAATATATAATAAATAATAAATAGTAAATAATAAATTCTGCATAAATATGTAAAATTAAAATCAAAAAATAAAAAAGTAAGAATTATTTATTCGTAAGTTTTGAAACACCGCTAACTGTGAAATCTACCTAATACTAATGTTTTCTTTTGTTTTTAATTAACCATATGTTAAATTTTTCCTTTTTGCTTTTTCATGTCAAATTTTATTCTTTTAATAATAATTAAAAAATGGCAAGCAATATTCGGAAACCTATTCGTCACAAGCAAAAGGCAATATTGTCGGGTTTGGAGACATATCGTGGTATGTAATTTAAATATATATCACATTATCTATATTAATAAGTGATTAAATATAATAAAATCTTTTATGGGCATATCTCTAGAACCTTTAACTTTAATGTCCCTCGCATATATTTTGGTAATTTTAATAAATTTTTCGTTGGTTTTTGTTGGAAATATTAATGCTTGATATAATCAATCATTTCCAAAAGATTCCACTTTAATTTATTAAATACATAAATAATTATTTCAATTTTAAAACGCGATTTTTAACAATGTCTACTTGTCCTTAACCATACTTTCTGATGCTTTAAACGATATAGTTTTAGATTTAATAAAAATTACTAATTCTGAAATATGGTTTTTCAATGTTAATTAATCGGTGAACACAGTTTCGCAGGGAAATTAATATTTTATTACTTGTGAAAAAATTTATAAGCTTTTAAAAGTTGTCCCTCACTTTTAACCTTTTCGACCGTAATCATCGTATTTATGATTTTTCTTTTATAAGACAAGCGGCACGTTAAAATAACTTATGGGAAATCAAAGATCAAGTTACTATAATTATTTTGAGACATAATAAATTGATGTGCTTCATGTCTTCAAAAAACTATTATAAGTTAAGTAAACGAAAACACGTGTGGACAAAATTTGAAAACAACCGTAATACGAGTGATACTTCATGAAAATCATATAAAAGCATTCGAAAAGTACTTGTATATATTTTCACATGTGCCATTTAACATCCCGTGAATGTGCTTCGAGAAAAAATACTTCATTGCAAAGATAATGTAAAAATATTCATCAATTACGGTCGACCGTAATCGACCGAAATTTTTTAGAAACAAATTGTTATGTACGAAGTTGCCGATTATAATTTTTTTTATAGAAACTGTCATTAATTATTAAAACCTGAAGGTTAAGTTTTAATGTTTATTTCGAGACACAAAAATGGATCCAAAAAAAATTCATTCTGAAAAAAGATAAGATGCGAGAGAAAAGAAAAATAAAAAAGGAAAAAAGAGAAAAGAAATTGGAAAGTTTACGAATATTAAATTTAAATAGAAAAAAGTCTATGAAAATCGTATGGTAAATTTTAAAAATTACAATTTTACATTTTTAAAACAATTCACTATAATAAAAATCTATTTTAAAATGTAATGTAAATATTCAAATAAAAAATTTATATATTTAGTTAATTTTTGACACATGCTTTTATACCCAGTGCATTATTTCAGTATTTTATTATTCATATAAATATTGAAAATATTAAACGAATTTTATTGCTTTTTAAAATTATAACCCCTTAGAAAATTCCCTTCAACTGTTTTTTATCCTAAAAAGCAAACACCTGTTGAATATTTTTTTGTTACAGGTTAAAAATAATTCTCAATTTTAAATATTTATAACTTTTTGAAGACAACTTGTTTTATATGTCCACTTGTATAATTGGAAAGCTTAGTTCTTGAAATTTATGTAGACAAAGTTTCAATACTGTGCTCAAAAAAAAAAAAAAAATTTTTTTCTTATTGAAAAGTTAAAGGTTTCAAAGATATGCCCTTATATTTTTTCAGGAAATTTATTAGATGACATGTTGGAAAATTTTAATTACAAGGAAATGTTAATTATTTTAAATTCAAAAAATCCTTTGAGGAATGAATATTGTAAGTTTAAATATTGTAAATATAAAGATAAATTTTTAGCAATTAAAATTTTAAAAAAATACATACAAAAATACCTTATCTACTATCTACACCCAATGGAATCGAAATTAATATTCTCAAGGGGTGTTTTTTTTATTTTATTATTTAGGATCTAAAATTATTGTAAATTGTCAAAATTAAAAAAAAATTTTGAGAACTTGAAATCATATTTCACTATGAAAAATGAAAAAAGTAATTTTTAATGAATTATTAATGAATTAATTGTTTTTCAATATCCTATAGTATATTACAGATTTAAATATTTAATATTAACAGAAAAGAATGACAACCTTAAATAGTCTTAAATTCGAAAGGTTATCAGCGGTCCCTCTACTTTAATAGCTGATTCAAAAATTTTACATTTTTGGCATGTGTGATTAAGAAATTTTTGGTCCATATTTTTCTAGATCCTTGGACGGGAACTATCGTGAGGATGTTTTCAATTGCTGGCCTCGGTACTTTAATGGGAATTACTATTTTATTGATTGGAATCTTTGCTTTTGGATATTTTGAAAATAATGATATTGGTACATATTTGACTAACTTAAATGCAGGAGTAATAATGGGAATTGTACTAAGTTTCACGATGATATATAGTGAAAAAATAGTTTACACAGACTTCACGATAAAGAAATTAATCTTCGTATCCCCTGTGATTAGTATTGTTTTCATTATGGGACTTATTCTTGCTCCATTAGCAATGTCAACATTATTGTCACGATTTGAAATTCAAGCTAATCTTTTAGCTATAATGTCAACGTTGTATCCAACTCTCATCATTATTGGATTTTTAAAAGCATCTGGTAATTTTCCTTATAATGAACAAAATAATTTATAATTACAATAATTAGTTTCTAGCTACTAAATTTTTATTTTACAATCATTTTCATTACATGATTTTTTTATATAAAAAAATGTTAATTTAGCAGAATTCTTATTTAATCGAATTTTATATGATTCAAATTTTTAAATGACAAATTCCAATTGACTGAATTTTAATTTATCAGAATTTTTTTTACCAATTTGTAATTAATAGAATTTTTAAGACGCCGAATCTTCATTTGTCCAAAATTAAAAATTACCTAATAATCAATTGACAGAAAGATTTGGCGCAATTTTTAAAATTAACCAATCACGATTTTCTTGATAATTTCTAATTGATTAATTTTAAAAATCTTCATATTTCCACCGGTTTTTTATTCTGACATTTGTAACTTCAGTAACGTCACTGTATATAATAAAATAAATAAAACTTTTAAATGTTTTTAATGATAAAACAGAAAAATTTAATAATTATAATCAGACAAATATCCCACGTATTACAGTAATATATTACTGTAATATTATACGCTTATTATATATATATATATATATTATGTATATATTATTATTATATACATACCAATTTCAAAGTTTTTTTTTATAATAAAACAGAAAAACATATTAATTTATCGGTCAAATATTTTTTTAAATGATTTTAGAATTTTTTTAATATTACCATTTAATATTACCGTAATATTACCGGTTGATATAACTGTAATGTTACCATAAGGCAGAAATTTTAATATTACAGTAATATTACTGTAATATTACGTGCTGCTTGGGTCAGAGATTATGAAAAAATGTTTATACAAAATTAATTCAAATTAAAATTACTGAGGAAAAAATCTTCACGTGGAACAGCAATATGTTTCATTAGAATAGAGAATGTTTTAACTGAATCAGCTAAAACTGTCACTATTCTAATAAAAACTCCGTCTGTTACAAGTAAAACTTCTTTTCCGTAAACTCAAAACACCTGAATTAATTAATCACACATCATTCTCTTCAACAAAAGGAATATTAAATTTATTTTTGTAATATTCTACATAACTATGCAAACCTCTTTCATCTTCAATAAATGTTAAATTTTTTTATCACAGGTGACTCTAAAAAAGCACATCGTCTCTTTCAAATGTGGATGAATTTCCAATTCGTGAGATTCCGCTATCAAATTTTATACGCTGCAATTGTGTTGTACCATAAAATGATAGCTTTCACAATTAAAAAATTTCGGCCACCTTCTAATAATGAACTTTATGAGTTAATAAGGACAACAGAACAAATAAAGCATCATAAAGAAGAAATAAACCAATTAATTTCAGAAATAGATTGTCATTATGATTTTACTACAAATTGTAATATAGACTTCCTGATTCACATGGAATTAATGCTCCTAACAGAACCTGTTCAAGGTTAATACATTTAAACCCAAAATAATAAAATATTATTATTTATTATTAAGCTTCAGCCTTTCGGCCTAAAAGTAGACTTGGCTAATAATAAAATATTAAAGTTAATAGAATTTACAATTTAATTTAAATTGAATTACATAATTAAAAAAAAATTCTATTTTAGATGAAGCGAGGGACACGGAGTAAAAAACGCAAGATCAATAATAAACATTATTAATAAGAATTTTTATTTATAATATATTTTTTAAATAAAAAAAATTTGAAAAATATACATTAAGGTAGAAAATTAAGGAATTAAATTTTTCAAATTTTTTTTTATTTTTCAAAAAAATTAAATATTTCATATACCTATCTCAATGTTGACACGTTTCATGTGCGTTAAATTTTTTTTCTGATTAACCCTGTTTTATAATTATTGTGAGATCTAATATTTGAAAAGAATTAAATGTGCATGTGTTTGTTGGAATGATGAAAATTTCTATTCAATTTTTTTTAATGCACTAAAATTATAAAAAAATTAATTTAGAATTTTATTTATAATTATTAAATTAATTAAAAAATATTTCTTTTATAAATAAAGCGAATTTTTTATGGTACCCTAAAAATTAAAAAGAAAATAATCTATAAATTTTTTATTAAATTAGCTATTTTTAACCTATCTTTAATTCTATAAATTGAGAAATTTTTTTACATTTAATCATGTACCCCTGTTCCTCGGATTAAACGAATTTTTTTTGGTACCCTAATAATTAAAATGTAAATTAATCAAGAACTTTTTTTAATGAGCTATTTTTAACCTATATTCAATTCTAGAAATTTATTGAGATTTTTTTACATTTATTCATATACCCCTTTTCCCCAGATTAAACGAATTATTTTTGGCACCCTAAGAATTTAAAAAAAATTAATCTATAATTTTTTTGATTTAATTAGATATTTTTAACCTGTTTTTAATTTATTGTTTTTTTAATTACTTAGGGCCAGTTTCACCAACTCCGGTTAAAAGTTAATCATCGATTAAAGCTAATTTAAGCACTCATGATTGGTCAATTAGGGATTTAATTGATGATTAACTTTTAACCGGATTTTGTGAAATTGGACCTTAATATGATAATTTATTTATTGGTTATTTTGTTTAATTAATTAATTTATTTATCCAATTTACATATATAATATATATATATATGTCATAGATACATAATAATATTATTACGAACCTTTAATTCAATTTCTTTATAATTTTCTAATATTTACACTAATCGCTCTATCTGTAGATCAACTTCTTATATCCTACCTAATTTTGAATATTTTTTCTTTAAGAAATTTAAATCTGATATATATATATATATATAAATATATATATATATATATATATATATCAATTGAAATTAAAAAAACAAATGTGTAATGTTTAAACTTTGTCAGATACGTTTGTCAATATTTGTTTCTGTTTTGATAGAATGTTGTTAAATATTTTGAACAAAGCTAACAAACGCTAAAACGAGGTAAATTTAATTTCTTTTTAAACTATTGATTTTTAAAAAATTTTACAACTTGTCACCTATCTTAAGTTTTTTTAAATGTGAAAATAGGGTTAAGAATAATCATAATTTAAATAAATTTTTTTTTATTTTATTAAAAAGAATTATTTTACTATTGCATAAATGTTTGTATTACTATATATTTTTTAACGTTTTAATTTTATATAATTAATAAATAAAAATCGATGAATAGTAATATAAATTCAATATTTAATGAATTATCAAATTCTTTACGTTTAAAAATAATGATCTAAAAATATTTTCAAATTTTAAGCAACATGCAGATAAAAGTTCTATTTTATTAATGAATCAGAGTTTATTACAGATTAAAAAATTTGAAAATTTTGAATTTTTATTATATTTAAAATGCCTATTTTCATTGATGGATACAGCTATAATCCAGATCCCAGAAACGAAAACATCCTTAGGTGAATATTAAAATTTTTAAAAATATAGTTTTACAATTTAATTAAATATTTCTCAAAATCCTGGTTGACACCTAAAATTTCATCTCATTTTATTTATACCTCAGTTACCATAAATATAACACAATACAGGCCTTAGATTAAATGACTTTTATAGACTTTTTTCAATGAATGAAACTGTTTTCGACATTTTTACAATTTTTTTTAACAAGATATTTTTATTATAAAATATACGTTTTGAAATTGAATTATGTAAAAAAATGAACTATGATTTCACTTAAAAGTAAATATTTAAAATGACATTATTCAAGTCCTTCTAAAATTCAATTATTTAAAACATTTTTCAATTGAATATTCTCTAGAATTCAATTATTATCTAAAACTTATAAATAATCATCAGTAATTCATATTTATGAAAATTTTAGTTAAAAATCTCCTGAAATTTTTTTATTTCTAAAAGTATTAAATCGAACTCTACTTAAAATTTAATTGTTTTTATTAAAATTTTTATCTAAAATTCTTTGCTAAATTAATTATTATTTCTTATAATTTTAATCAACATCTTTAAAAATTTAATATTTAAAACATTTTTTGAATCAAAAATTCTCTAAAATTAAATTATTATTTCAAATATTTATAAACTCTTCGGCAAATAAACTGTACGAAAATTAAAATTATAATTTCATGAAATTTATTTATTTTCAAAAATGATAACTCCAGCTCTTGCAAAAATCAATCATTTCTCAAATTTCAAACTAAAGTTTATTGTTCAATTAATTATTTATATAAATTTAATTACATTTTTCTAAAACATAATTATTTAAAACATTTATCAATTAAAAATTCTTTTATGAAATAATTAATTTATCGATAAATACTGAATATTACAATAAACCTAATACTAATAAAAACCACCTTAAAAAGTATTTTTATTTGTTTATTTAATTTCACTTATTTCAAGTTTTAGTCATACAAAAGAGCAGTTTCGCATTATTATATAAAATATAAAATTAGGCATAAAATTTAAATTTTCGTTAATTCTTTTAAAGCGTGCTTTTCACGCAACAACCCCTATAGCATCCAAACTTTTTGATAATATTGCAAAATCATTTCCAACATTGATGAATGTTTGGCAATATTACTGGGTTAGTCCTTTATTGGTATAAGTAAACAAAAAAAATTTCATAATAAAAAAAATGTTTAAAGATAACGAATATATGATTCTAACCCTTTAATTATGATAATTAAAGCCGACCTACATTTTATCACTTACACTTAGAATTTACTAATTTAATTGCAACACTAAAAAAATTATATTCTAGATTTAAAAATTTCTTCTTAAATAGGCGCCAAGAATATATTATTTACTGTAAGAATATTTCCTCACTTACTTTAATTCGGCACTATTCTTGGCGCCTATTTAAGAAGAAATTCTTAAATCTAGAATATCATTTTTTCAGTGATATAGTATACTTTTTGATTATGGCAGGTGTTCAAAAAGAACAGGAAGGACTGCATGTAAATTTTTATTAATAAAAGAAAATGGGCATTTTATTAAAGGGAAAGAAGAAAATCATACATGCAGTATTTTTAAAACTTTTGGAGAAAATAATAGAAAGGCTAGAAAATTAATGGTTGAAAAGTGCAAAGACATAACTCTTGAACAAAAAACTATTTTCGATAATGTCGTTACTGAGTAAGAATTTAATTATTATATTACCACTAATTTTTAAGTTTCTCAATTATTTATTTTATTATTTATAACAAGATAAATAGTTTTAATTTAAACTGCAATTATTAATTTTAAATTGTATTGCTTCCTCATGGAAAGCATTTTAATATGAAAAGTTTTCAAGTTATATTTTATGATGTAACTTTGTATTTTTCGTCCTCAAGAATCAAAAAAAGTCGTTCCGTATGTGTGAGTGTAAGTGTATACAGAAAGAAGGATTCTGTACTAATCACTTTCATTATGATTCAACTAGCTGTCGAACCGCCTACGTCGGGTCTCGACATCTAGTGGTGCGTGTCCGATAGTATTTTCGTACAAAAAGTATTAGTATTTTCATCAGGATCGTCTGTAAATTGTTCAGAATTTATTTACATTGCTTAAAAATTATATAAATATTTGATTGTTATTTAACCAATGTCAATAAAAACTTATATCTTCCTTAAATTTAAATTATGATTTAAACTAAATTTTACCAAATTAAATTTTTTTATGAAATTTAAACATTTCAATGATATTGTTTCCAAGATGCACCACCAATTTGGTTGGGCCACCAAGAAAATTTTGTTGGTATTTTAGTAACCAAATTATTTGTTTGAGTCAACCAAAAAATTTGGTTGAGTGTTGTTTATTGGTATAACAAAAATGTTTGGTTAGCTCAAACAAATTTTTTTGTTAGGTCAACAAAAATATTTGGTTGATCGAACAAACAGTTATTTTGTAAAATTAAAAATGTTATTCTACCTTATTTCTTTTTTTGTATCCTTTTTATTTATTTTATTATTTATTTATTATCAATTTAACGTTTAATTTATATTTATCCAATTGAAATATTTGTGGACTTTGAAAAATCTCATCTCCGCCTGGGATCGAACCTCTGTTTTAAAACTGAAGGTCGGGAGCTCTGACCACCGGACTACCCATCCTTGTGAGTTCCATCCTTGCAAATCAAATTATTTGGTTGCCACAACCAAAATTTTGGTTAGGACAACAAACGATCATTTGGTTTTTTAGACCAAACTATTTTGTTGTGTTAACCAAATTATTTTGTTGTCGTAACCAAATTTTGGTTGGAATTTAAAAATGTTTAACCAAATAATTTTGTTGGCCTAACCAAATGTTTGGTTGAGATAACTCTACGATTTTGTTTCAGCCAACAAAAATTCGGTTACAAGAACCAAAATTGTCTAACCAAACAATTTTGTTGCAACCACTAAATTTTTCTTCTCAGTGTAGAGGTAACCAGTCATACATCTCACCCACACAGCACCAAAAATTTATCGAATAATCCATCACAAAAATACA